CAAAGGTTTTTGTCTTACTCAGATTCGCTATGGTAAGCCCGTTATAAGTTTTTATATTTCAGACAGAGCAGGATACTTTTCGCGTGAAATCGCGCACGTGACTCGTCTGTTTGTGTCAAATTCACAGACAAAAGTTGCTCCAGCTACTATGATGCATGTGAGTGTACAGTAAATAAAACTGTTACCCCTTTTAATATATATATATATATATATATATATAACATTAACAGTAAATTGAACATATACTTAACTTGCAATTGCATTACTTGCAATTCAGTTGCTTTGAAAACCTCAGATTCAAATTGCTCCATAAATGCACATTCTACAGACAGACCGCAAAGATGCTTTTTCCCTCTTTCTTTCTTTCAGCCATTTTCATCTTTGAAATGGCTAAACACTGCAAACTGTAATTTCCAACTGCTTTAGATCATCTCAAAAGCTAAAAATTCCTAAAATTAATTCTGAATTGTGTTACATTTTTACTTTGTATTGTATTTGTATTTGTTTAAAGATTATGGGGGCATATGTTTAAAAATAATTTTGCACTGCCACTGATAAATAATACATACTGCAATATTGCATAAAAATAAGAATAATCATTTGATTTCATGACAGAGGGTGCATGGACCCCATTTATTCACCAACCATAATCGCAAACAATATGGTCAAGAATCATGTTTGGATATATTAAAGTTTGTCACATAAGTTTCAGATTTAGTAGCAGCAAATGGCAAACGTGGCCATGTGAAGGAACAAAGAGAGGCAGTATGACGCTGTCATTCAAGCAGAATTTCACAATGGAGTGTGCGCATTGTTGCTAGATGGTTAGCAATGCAAGAAAATGGAAATGTCTAAAATAATTTAATAAATTAAATAAATTAAATAATAAAGAAGATACTTTATGAAGACAGTTCACTTCGTGTATACAGACAGGAGCCATCTTTAAAAAAAGTCTCGATAAGTCGATCCCTGAACGCCGTTCATACAGTTCAGAAGTTCGCTGAACTTCATACAGCTCAGATCACTCAGCATGACGTTCGTGGTTTGACTGGTCGAGACTATTTTTTAAGATGGCTCCTGTCTGTATACACGAAGTGAACTGTCTTCATAAAGTATCTTCTTATTAAACGGTTTGTACACTTACAAAGTTCTCAAAGCTTTGTTTTACATGTATGGAGCCTCATTATGTTACTGCGTTAGTGTGGGGCTATTTTGAGTCTTGTTAGTAGTATAAACTAGCGATTTCTTTTTACTTAGTCAATGCCCCCATTACTAGCATTATACGCTAAACAGTTTTTAGAGATTAAACTCTTTACATTCGATTATCATGAGAACAAATCTCAGAGAACGATTGACAATGTACCGATGTTTTATTAGACCAAAGGTTCATTGTTCGCCGGAGTTCTCCTTCAATGACAACAGTCAAACATTCATAGAGACTCCTTCATGTTCATGACAGGTGTTATGTCATGTTTATGACAGTGTCATGTCAGTCTTATGCAGACCCCTTCAAATAAAGTGTTAACTAATTTTATTGTAGTCTATGTAGGGCTGTCGCGGTAACCGCAATATTGTAGTACCGCGCTTCTGACAAGTCAACCGCAGAGGATAGCACGTAACCGCAGCAACCGCGATATTCACGTTTTTTTTTTTATAAGGCTATACCCTTCTTGTTTTGAACTTAATGCATGTGTATTGAATGTTAAACAAGTTCATAACGATAACAAGACTGTTTATCATGGTGATGTGTAGCCTACAGGCTTCACACAGACAGTGAATGAGAGAGATCGGCAGAGCGCTGCGCGTGCAATTACCTGCGTCTGTCTTTGAAGTCGTGAAAAGCTTGTCGTGTCAAAGGGAAGCGAAAAATTTGTCGCATCATCATTTTAATGTTGTTCTCTTGTTCTGTTGTTCTCAATGTTCTCTTCACGGGTATTTTCCCATAAATGCGCGTCAGCAGCAGCTCTGGTCAGCATCCCACAACACAAGGAAGCCGAAATAAAATCAGTGAGTCACGCATTGAATCAATGGGTCTCTAATAAGTGAAGCATCAGCTTCAGCATTGCCTATGCGACGCATTGCTGCTCAGCTGAGCCTTGAAAAGTTGAATCTCAAAGTTAAAAATAAATAACATCTTGTTGAATCAGCTTTTTTAAACGTGTTCGTTGAATGAACGGTTCAATGACTCGCTCAAAGTCCGTTGTCATAACAATATGAGCGCTGAGTGAAAGTCTTTCAATGCGCATATACTGTAGACGCTGTTTAGTTTCGGTTACATTGGTTACTGAAAATGTCCTCGTTTTTGTCCACATCGTAAACATTATTTATATAGCAACAAAAACATAAAAATTAAATAAATAAATAAATGGCGGTAATACCGCATATCGCGCTATTGAGCCACTCAACATTACCGCAAGGGAAATTCCATAACCGCGACAGCCCTAAGTCTATGAATTTCATTCCTCAATGCACCTCATAATCATTATTGAGCCCATTATAAATGGCTATTTTTTGATTGATTGATTGATTGATTGATTGATTGATTGATTGATTGATTGATTGATTGATTGATTTGTTTATTTAAGTGTCAAACACCTTTTTTGATGCCCAGCCCTCATGGGCTTATTAGACACTATTTGACATAATACAGAGTCCAACAACTAAACCACTTAAAAATAAAAATAAGTATACATACTAATAGAAATTACTTTTCATGCAGGATGCCAAATACTTTGCTGTAAATATCAGGCTTTTTCTACACATTTTGCCAAAGCAAAAACATGATTTTCAAACAACTAGCACAAAATCTCCCCTTCATATTTCCAAAATATATCAGGATTTTTTTAACTGAAATAATTCAAAAAGAGAGTTCCTTAAATCATAGTGTAAAGGACAATAAAAAACAAAGTCAAATTCATCTACCACAACCTTGAGATCACAGAATTCACACAAACGTAAATGGTATTTTTTGTCTTTGTTAATGTCAAGTATCATGTCATAATAACAAAGACATTTTAAACAATGTCAACTTTGCATTAAAAGTGTCTAATTAACCAAATGACACTTAATGACAACAGTCATAAACATTCATAAAGACTCCTTCATGTTCATGACAGGTGTTTTTTTCATGTTTATCACAGTGTCACGTCAGTCTTATGCACACCCCTTCAAATAAAGGTGTTACCCTAAAGGTACATTTGTCTACAGCAAGGAGGAACAAAATGTGGTGATCAGCATAACCAGTAACCACATTATACATTAAAAGCAAAAGAGGAAACAAGTGACTTCCATCTAGAGTGCCTGCTGATGGATTTCCCCACAAAACTGGACAAACAGGTGGATCTTCCTCCAGCTCATTAGAATACAGCAGCTTTAAACAAACAATCTAACAGAACGGACTATTTTAATCAGAAACGCGGTGACACCTGACACTTCCTCCAGTGTCAAATGTCCTTTGAGAACTAGGTTAGTCTATATGAGGAGGACGGGATAAAACGGTGTCCCATTACTGCACAGTAAGAGGTGAATATTTTCCAGTTTCACAAGGATAGACAGAAAAACTTGTGTTGCCCTATAGAGAACGTCCCAGCAGAAAAGATTGTTGGTTATATTTATGAGTAATGCATTTCTGGATAATGCAGATGACAGTGGAGTTACTAATTGCATGCAACAAAACTTGAATATCTTGTCATTTAAATCCCCACATCTTGATGTTTCCTATTATCTGGCATCTGGTCTATTATCCGAGAAGAATGCAGAAAAAGAATCAAGGCTCAAACAGGAATGAGACAACCATTGTGAATCACCCAGCACATTATTTCAGAGGGCACGGGTGCACAGGTCTGCTGAAAGGATGACAATGTGGAGTGATAAAAGCAGTAAGAGGGGGATGAGGGTGTTGTTTTCGCTTTAGACTGGAAAGAACAAATCGCTATTCAGCTGAGAACTTTTGCTCACTCACCACCCACACTGAGAAAGAAAATATAAACCGAGGGAGTGAGAGGGAAAGGGACGGAGAGAGAGCTGATCTCGACTCGAGACTCTTTACAGCTTTGCCTGTGGCAGTGTTTCATCTCTTTCCTTTGAAAGTGACTTAGAGGAGCTCAACTTCCTCTACTGCCTTCTACTACCACCAAAGAATAAAAGGCCCTTGGGTCTGACCCATCATGCTACTGATGTTTTGTCCCACTTACTGCTAGAGAACCAAAACCCAAAAAGATGTAACATCTTGGTTTTGTGAACAGCAAAAACACCTTGTAAAATCAGCACTATATTAAAGGAGCATTTCACCCATTTCAACATTAATCTTTATTGAAAGTGGATCATTTATGTAGTCGAAATGTAAAATAATTTTTGCATTTGGTGCCCTCTTGACCGAGAAAAGACCAAAGGGCGCATTTGTATGAAAGACTACAACACCCACAATGCACCAAATTGCACAGCCACACCCACTAATCCGGAACTGCGTGCACATCAGAGAAATCATTCTTTCGTCACCATCACCAAGGCTAACGTTAGCCATAACCAGAGTTTGAAATTCAATTCACACAAAATTTATAGTTAGTTGGCTGTGGCGAGCAGGACGAGGGACGTGAGAGCGGCGCGATAATGAAAGACAAGAGACGCACCGACCGGTCTCGTATCTCTCACAGAGGAGCGGAAGCATAAACGGCAGATCGAGAGAGAAACAGGCATGATTTTATGTTGTGTGTGGACATCAGTCGTCAATGAGGGGCTGTTGGCTTATACTTTTATCATTTTACAATTAAAATGTTTAAAATGTTCACCAATTCCCAGCTCCTTCTTCCCACAACAACAAACCCTCACTGTAAAAAATTTCCGTAAAAATACGGTACAATGTACCATATAAATGTGAAGGATTTTTTCCGTATTTGTCTTTTACGGATCTTTTACCCTTATTTTGAATTTCGCGTTGCATTGTGGGAACAATCCCGGCAGCGCGAAAAGTTTAAGACGCATCCGCCATTACACACGCAGATGACCGCGGGCAAAGTTGCTTCTTAGAGCCGGATTTCGGGTGTGTGGAAGCCATTCTGACACTTATGTGGTAAAACTTAAACTTAAAAACGAAAATTATGTTTTGCTTGATGTCAAAAAAGCTGTTAACGTAACGTTATTTTTAGTTACCATCTGGCATTAACTGGTAGGCAAATGAATATGTCGGAGCCGTCACGTTTATCATTTTATGCATATCGTCACACATTGAAAGAGTTAGTTAAGACTCGTGGAGGTTCTCGATTGTAGTGTCCTTGTTGTAATGGGCTTATTTACTTTTATTTGTCATGATGCGGTTTATTTCTTGCCGAGCGAATCCGTTAACTAGTTGTGATAGTTCTAACGTTAGCTAGTGTTTTTAGAGCAATTTAATGCCTTCAAGCAAAAGCAACCAGAGGAATCGTCAAGAAAAGTAAACGCCATTAAGACTTGCTTGATTTGAAAGGCATGAAGACACAACGTGAAGAGACTGTTTGTGAATATGCAGTAACTTGACCGGTACAGCTGGATCAAGGAAAACACCAGCACCTTTTCTGCAAAATGAGGTAAGTTAACGTTATGTTTACGTTAGACTTCATGTTTTTGTTTTAGATGACACACACGACTTTAAACCCCAAATAATAAAAGATTAATTTACATTTAGCATGACTGCTATTATCTAAACTTCTGCCTGTAATGTTAGTCATTCTTTCCCTTCTCATTTGTTCATTTCATAATGTTTCTGTTGTTTTTTTATCTATTAACAGGACTTTTCTGCTGTAGTTTACATCCCAAGCACCACCTGCATGCTTCTTATGGGTTTGTATTTTGTTTTATTAGCATTATTATGAATGTTCAATACTGGCAAAACACATTTGAATTTAAAGTCTGAAGAATAAAGTCTGTTACTCTGTTTATAGAAAAAGTTGGTTGCTGAATACCCCCTTCAAAGATATTTATGTTTACATGGTCGGTAGAAATACAAATTGTATAGGGAAGATTTAAACAACTATGTTTAAAGCGTTTTTTTGAAGTGATCGTGTTATGTTTTTCATTTAGTAATATCTTTTTCTGTTTCAGGTGGTGGACATTCAGGGTTGCTGTCATTCAAGAAGTTATTCTTGTCAAGGGTTATCTCCTACCCTATTGAGTCAGTAAGATGCAAAATACCTGAAGAATATGGCACTTATCCTGGAGTTCATATAAAGGTAAGCAACACATTTTTAATCAAATTATTTATAGAACATGTTATTGTGATTCTGTTTATTTAGTTGAAAATAATGAAGCATATTAGAATGTAGCCTATAGTTGAGCATGCAGACAAGCTGACATGACATGCAATTGGAGTCCACTGGAAAAAAGTCTTAGCATTTTTTAAACAGTGTTTGAATTTGAGAGAATTAGGAATGGCTGATAATTTTTTTATAGTTGATAATTTAGTGAATGTAAAATACTGTACATTTGTTTGTCAAACTCAACCTGGTCTACATGATACTTTGTAGTTAATTTTCCTTCATTTAATTTCTTGTGTAGCTAAAAATATATCCTTTTTTTTTCATTTCCAACTTTCCTGTGTAGAAATCCTGAACGAAGGTTGAAAAGGCTGAGATGAAGGAAACGTCCCCATTCCTCCAAAACTGCTGAAGTTCCTGTATGAACAACTTCGAAAAACCAGGTAAAGTTTCAAGCTTTTGTCAAATCTCAAAATGGAACTTTAACTGAACATACCGAAAAATGAACGTTTTTCATGCAAGTTGTTAAGATCTTAAAGGGATAGTTCACTTTGAAATACATTTTTGAAATCTTTTATACCTCAAGGGCATCCAAAATGTAGGTGTCTTTGTTTCCACAGTATTTTCAAGTTTGATATTTTTAGGTCAAACCGTTCTTGTCTGTCAGTCATATAATGGAGGTTTATGGGGTTCACCCTGGGTCCCCCTAAAGAGCATGCACAGAGAAGTCCAAATTAAACATGATTTAATGACTCGTGAATGTAAGTACACATTGATGGCCTAAAACACGAAACGAGCGGTTTGTGTGAGAAAACGAACAGTATTTAAATTGTTTTTACCTCTTGTAATCACAGCCACGCCCAAGTGATCTGAAGGATCACTTCCGGCGCACTTGCGCAGACCGAAGCGCCCTGTGCCTTCAGATCACTTGGACGTGGCTGTGATTACAAGAGGTAAAAACAATATAAATACTGTTCGTTTTCTCACACAAACTGCTTGTTTCGTGTCTTAGGCCATCTATGTGTACTTGCATTTAGGAGTCATTGAATCATGTTTAATTTGGACTTCTCTGTGCATGCTTTTTCAGTTTCACTTTTTCAGGGTGAACCCCATAAACCTGCATTATATGACTTACAGACAAGAACGGTTTGACCTAAAAATATCAAAATTGAAAATACTGTGGAAACAAAGGCACCTACATCTTGGATGCCCTAGAAGTAAGATAAAAGATATCAAAAATTAATTTCAAAGTGAACTATCCCTTTAATGAAATCTGAGAGCGTTCTCTCCCTCTGTTGACAGCTCTCCCTCTGCTTACACCTACCACTTCAAGCTTCAGAAAGATAGTAAGATCATAATAAAAGTAACACAGTGTTAGAGTCCTATCCAAATGTGATGCGATAAGATTCTAGCAACAAAACATTTGTGCCACTTTATAAATTTGGGGTTAAACCACTGGAGTCACATGGATTACATTTGTGTCTATACCTTTCTGAAACTTGAAAGTGGTAGTTGCCTAATCTGTCAATGGAAGGACAGAAATCTCTCAGAGTTCCTCAAAAAGATCTTCATTTTTGTTCTAAAGTTGAATGTAACTCTTGTGAGGTGTGGAACAACGTGCGTGTGAGTAATTACAAATTAAAATTTTGGGGTGAGCTTATGCTTTATGTAATATTGTGTTCTCTTACAGAAAAATGGCATCAACACTAACATTTCACTCTTCTTTAATCCCTAGCTGGCATCTTGGGGAGGACGACCTCGCATCCAGTATGCTGCTGTGGGTGCCGCAGGATTTCGAACTCATTCGATCACTTGTCTCTATGCTTTTCGAACTGTGGCGACTAATCGTGCCTTGCTGTGGGTCAAGCCGCTGGATCTTTAGATCTTCTTCGATTTGCTTAATCCATCCTTTTTTTGGGTGCAGTGCGCTGGATTCTACACTGGGTTGGACGTTTCCTCCAGAGGACTTGTGTGGTATTCAATTTGCATCCATTCTGCACGTGTCCAAACATTTCACTCTATTGACTAGAAGTCTAAAGCAATTTTTAAAAGCAGAAGCCTTATCTTCATTGCATTTTGTTTGTTTCTGTATTGTATCGTATTCTATTAGTATTGCATTTGATAATGTTTTGAATCTTGACTTTCACAGTTTATGAAGGTTTTTTTTTTTTTTCCATTTTTTTAAAATAATTTTGTGAGCTATTTGGTACAACACCAATATTGTGCAAGTACCTGCTCATTTTCTTTTTTTTTTTTTTTTTTTATTTCTCCCATGTTTGTTTAATGTCTTAACTTTTTCCACAATACAAGCACTTTTTTATGGTGCTTTATGGTGCTTTGCACATTGTTAATTGTGTGTGTCTATCAATTTTTACCCATTGAATGCGTTTTAAGAATGTTTACATGAAATTTTTACAAAAATAAAACATGTTTAATATGTATATATTGTTCTTGAATTATTTGCTACCAAAATATATGCTATAAAAATAGAAATTTCTGTATAAGGATTATCCGTGAATAGTACAGAAAATACGGAATTTTCCATTTTAGGTTTGACGGAAATGTCCGTCAATGGTACAGAAAAACTCATGTAAATCTACGGAAATATCCGTTCTAAGGTTTACGGAAGTGCCCGTACAAAAACGGAAAAAGTGCTGGTAATTAATTACCAGCACTTTTTCCGTTTTTTAACGGAGATTTTTTTAACAGTGCTGTTAACGTTACATTGGCAAACTCATTAGTGAATTACTACTCGTTTGTATTTCTTTCTAAATATTAGGGCTGGTTATTGACACAAATTTCACAATTCGATTCGATTTCGATTCGATTCAATATTGCTTATTTTGGATATCAGTTACAATAAATGGCAAATTTTCTCAAGGAGTTCAAATCTCTTAACTAACGCTCTTAACTATGGGAGTCTAGTTGTAGCCTAAAAGGCTTCATTAGCCTAATATGAAGGTAATAATTAACTGTTTTGTAGCTATACAAACACATAAATACACTTTTATTTATTTTTATAATAAGAATATTATATGAAATATAAACATTTAAATGGTAGCTGTCATAAAACTTGCCAGATTTATTCAAATATGCATTAAATATTGAAGAACATAAAGATTATAATGCATATGTAATATGGTGTATATATTTAGCAAAATGCTCCTCTCTAGAGTTATTTTTTCTAGCTGACTAACGCGTTTATGTGGGTTTTCTGAGGTAAATATGACGATACATTGATTACAAGCTGTTTAACTGACGTCTTTCCACGGTTGAAACGCTGATTGAGTGAATCAATGTGACATGATGCGGATTTCGATAAGTTGTACTCTACCTTTTAACACACTTTCAGATGCTCATTCGTGTTTATTTCGCGCTGTAACTGGTATTATTAAGCCGGAAGACAGATCAGCGCTGCTGCTTCTCTTGAGCTGCGCCAGAGCGATGTCACGCCACAGCGCCAAAACGTTATTTATGTTTTTGAATTTCTAAAGAAAATGGACTTAATTTGAAAATTGTGAGACTTTGTTTCATATGAATAGTAACAAAAGGACAAAGATTATTGCGATTTTTTTGGATTCGCGCAGCCGCGATACAATGTTCCATTCATTCAAATGAAACAGGATGACTAATCGATTCTTGAGATTTAAGAATCGATATCGGTTCGTAAAAATGAGAATCGATTAAATATCAAGAAATCGATATTTATTACCCAGCCCTACTAAATATGGTGTATTATTAAATGATGCCTGAATGTTCAGTCAGTTCAACTAGGATGGTTCACATCACAACACAAACGTCCGTGTGCTCGTCTGATTCAGAGACTTCGTCCAGGAGAAATTGCCATTGTTGAAATTCTCTACAGCAGATGGACTGTGTCCGTAGGCCGTAGCACGCAGCGAGAGCACATGAACAGCAGTCCGCCTCAGCTCGAGCCAGTCCAGGCTCTTCACTAATTTATATTACGGTTCGTAAAGATAGCCACGAACATCGGATTCGAGCAGCAGACTTTCAAAATTCTCTTTTTCCATATCATGTTTAGTTTCTTCTGTCATTTTCATACTTCCTTATCTTCACAGCGCTTGTTAGCTTACCTTCCAAAAACAAGATGGCGGATATTGATTTCAATTTCTGCAAGTGAAGTCCCACCCACTGATGTGTAATAGGCCTGTAGGGTGAGTGGGTCCCACATAATGAGCTAATGTTTGTAGTCTCTGCACATTCAATGAAATGTGACTTCCTGTTGCATCACCGGCGTGAGTGATGCAAATCGCAATGTGATTTTTACGTCATAATAAGCAGGAAGTAAAACATTTAAATCCTTATTTCTCCCATCTCAGGGGAAAATAAGGGAATAAACCATGACCATTCAAAAATTCGACTGGGTTTCTAAAGATACAAAGCTTAATGCAAATGGGTGAAGTGTCCCTTTAATCCAGATCCATTTGAAAATTCATATTTTTTCTGCATTTCACCGTTTGTCCTGCAAAAGCAGAGATTTTAGAAGATGCAGCTTGTAAACATAGTAAATGGATTTCCACTCTAATCAAAAATTGTATTAACTAAAAAGATGTTGTTATAGCTTTTGTAACAATGTGCCTCCATTAGGGGTGGGGAAAAAAATCGATTCTCGATGCATCGCGATGCGGACGATCCTGAATCGATTCACAAATATCAAAAAATCTATTTCAAAAAAATTTTTTTTTGATATGTATTTATAATAACGTAATATTGACGGAACGCGAAAGACGGAACTCTGAAGCGCGGAAGTGCAGTGGCGGGACCGTCTGTGGCGTGCACATAACAGAGACCCGATGGAACGCGAGATCCAAACACTTTCCTTGTTAGGTTAAAAGCTGACGTGTGGAAATATTTTGGCTTCTGAAGTTAAAGGGGGAAAGGAGCTGGACAAGAGCCGCACTAGTTGTACGCTTTGTGGAATAAAACCAACGACGGAAACACGACAAATATAATAAGCCATATGACACCTTTCCAGCCAGAGGAGGAAAAACACTCTGCTGCACCAGTCGTTATATTATTTATTTACTACAAGTATGCTAGTTCAAGCACACATTTATTTTCCTGGTCGTTCTTTGTAATGTTAATAAAATATATTGTGCATTAATTCTCAATGGGTCATTAATTTGTACTTTTAAAGCAAATTATTTATAGTCACACACAAAAGATTCAGATAATCGATTTGTAACATTATAAATGTCTTGTACTTTAACTTTTGATCAACTTAATTTATCCTTGATGAATAAAAGTATAGATTTCTTTTTTCTTTTGCCCAAAAAATTTAATAAAAATTCTTACCGACTCCAAACATTTGAACGGTATTGTTTAATGTTACAAAAGCTTTCTATTTCAGATAAATGCTGTTCTATTGAATTTCTGGGTGATTCTCTGAATCGGGTGCCCTTCAAGTCCCCCAAACTTGCTTCAAATATTTTCAATTGAAGGAAATCACAAAATACATTTTAATGCTGTCAATTAATAGAACCAGGTGCATTTGCATTATAATGCAACAAAATTGCTTTTGAAAAAAAATTTAAAGTTAATAAATGTAAAGATAATGAGTTGCCTAAGTAGTAGATAACAAGCATGTTTGCATGTCGCCACTAACCATCATTATATTTTCAATGAATATTAAACAAATAAAAAGTGCAATTAATACCAAAATGTTGCTGCTGCTAATATAATCATATGTTGATCTAGTGTATTTTCGTTTACTGTTGTGAAATGGAAAATCAATAATCGGTGATCGAGAATCGTTAATAATCGAAAATCGACTGTAATCGAATCGGGACTTCAATAATCGTAATCGAATCGAATCGGGAAATCAGACAGATTAACCACCCCTAGCCTCCATCTTGTAGTACTACAACGTGACGTCACGGCGTTAGTTGGCTCTTTTGGATAAATGAGGATTATTACAGTTTCTAATGTTCTTTGATTTTTCTGCTTTAATAGTTGCTGTAATCGTTACTAGTAATAGATAAATCTCATAATATATATGTCACCATGTAGATGATCAAAAGATGGCTCCAGTGCAATTGGTTCTCTGTTTCAGCTGCAGTTTATGAAAATGGAATTTTAATGCTTTAACAATGTAAAACTTATTTTTCCATCCAGGAGCAATTCAATAGGCTCCCTTTTGTCTTGTGATACCCTGTGGCTTTCCAGTTTCCATCTTTCACTGTCCTCCACTGGCAGGCAAGACAACCAACCCAGTGACATACTGTAGGTTGTAGTACTGAAAGATGGAGGCACTCTTGCTACAGAAGCTATAACAAAAGAGCTATAACAAAACAGACTGATCTCATGAAATGGCGTATGTATGACACGCCAATTCGTATTTCCATTTTTGGCGTGCTATCAACACGCATAATCGCTTTTCAGCGTGTTTATGAACGCCATTGACTTAACGTCACATTACTGTATAAATATATGACCTACACCAGCCTTTCTCAAAGTGGGTGCCGCGGCACACTGGGGTGCCCCCTGACTGTGTCTGGGGTGCCGCCAAAAAATTACGTAGGCTAAAATAAATAAATAAATAAATAAACAACTGACATATAAATATATTTAAATTTACATATTTACATTCTTCTTTTTAAACATATGAACGTATTAATAAAATTGTAAATTCATTTTAGATAAATATATAAAATCCATCTCGCAAGATACGAAACTTGACGGAAGTGACGCAATCCATAGCAACGCGTTATAGCAACAACACCTCAGACTGACAGAAACGTGAAAATAAACGTAAATTTAGGTCACTTTAGTTACAGCATCATGGATCTTTTTTTTTTTTTTTTTTTGAAAAGAAAATCCCCCCAAGAACCGGACAGTTTTTCTGTGAAATGGAGCCTCAGCCTACTTCCTCAGTACTGGGGATGCAACATGCCCTCTCCCGTTGTGTCTAATATGGGATGAAACTATCAAACCAAGGGATGATTCCGCAAACTTAAAAGACACCTGACCACCTCTCATCCAACCCTGCCAGGATAGGGCGGCTGTGTGCGTCGCACCAGGCTCACGTCTCGATTGTGGTCACCCCCACCCCCGGCTTGTGTAAGCGCGTATACGCGCTGCATGCACGCATGTAGATCGTTCTCCCTCTCTCGTTGTGGATTATTGTTTGTGTGTGTGGCTGTATGTGTGTGTGTGTGTGTGTGTGTGTGTGTGTGTGTGTGTGTGTGTGTGTGTGTGTGTGTGTGTGCATGTGCATGGCACGGATAAAAAAAAAACAAGCACTATATGGAAAAACATTCCTGCTTATCTCTGGTGCATTTTTTAACATGCATCTTTTTCTTATTGCATTGCATTGTGTATATATATATATATATATATATATATATATATATGTATGTATATTAATGTCTTTCCCTTTTTATTTTATTTTAACTGCATCCTGCACTTCATTTGAGTTCTCCTGGTCTGGATTTGTTATTGGGTTTTTGTATTGGGCGGTCCACCTCTTACGGTTTTATGGCATTTGTGTCTCTGACTAATTATTTTGTGAATTACCTTGCTAACCTTTGTTTTTAAAGGTACTATACAGTTTTTATTATTATTGTTATT